AGGAAATCAGTTGGAGTTAGTGGCTTGAAGGAGCTAGCCACTAACGCCATGCTGGATGGAGCTAGCTGACACTAGCTCCATTCTGAATGGAGCTAGCCATCATTCTTAATATTCCCTTTCAAGCTGGACGATAAGAAAGTGACTCTAAGCTTGTCTTTTAAAAAAAGGAACCTTGAGTGAGTGAGGCCTTTTGTTAAGAGATCTGCTGCTATTTGATCAGAGGAAGGCACATATTTGACTTCTAATTCTTTGCCAAGCACTTTATCCCTGATGAAATGAATGTCTAATTCAAAGCATGTTTGGCTAAGCTTAAATTCCAATTAAAATTGAAAATATAGCCGTTATTGGTCCCACACGTCTAATAAAAGTCAACACTAACGGCTAATTTTTCAATTTTAATATGATTTTAATCTCTACCGAACATGCCCTCAATGTGCTTTGTTCGCGCATGGTATACTGGGTTGGCTGCCAAAGCACTAGCGCTCATATTGTCACACCACAGGACTGGGATGGATGATTGTGATAATTCAAGTTCTTTGAAAAGTGATTGGATCCAGGCTATCTCTGAGGCTGCTGAGGCAAGTGCTCTGTGCTTTGATTCTGTACGTGATCTAGCAACTACATGTTGCTTCTTTGAAGACCAGGCAACCAAATTTTCTCCAAGTAAATACACTAGCTTGTAGTTGATCGTCTGTCATCCGGGCAGGATGCCCAATCAGCATCTGAATATCCTGTTAAGTCTAATATTTCACTTTTTTGTATCCACGGCCCTTGATCTATTGTTCCCTTTAGATACCTAAGTACTATTTTCAAGGCTTGCCAGTGAATTGAAGTTGGAAACTGCAAAAACTGACTTAATTTATTTACAGCAAATGTGATGTCTGGCCTAGTATGTGTGAGATATTGCAGAACTCCTACAGCACTTCTGTAGATTGAAGGGTTGTTCAGTAGTTATCCTTCAGCTTTTGACATGGTTTTGCCTGCTAGAATTGGAGTTGGACATGGCTTCAGATTTTGTAATTCAAACTTCTTGAGCAACTCAGCAATACACTTTGCTTGAGTTAAATGGAGACCTGAGTTATGCCACAACACTTCAATTTCCAGAAGCAGTGAAGTTGCCCCATATCTTTGAGTGCAAACCTTTTATTCAATTCATTTATGAACTTTTGCAACAAGCCTGCATCATTCCCGGTTACTACAATGTCATCAACATATATGAGTGCAAATATGATTTGATTTTCATTTTTGAAGTACAACAAAGAAGTGTCAGCAATTGATTGCTTGAACTTCCAATTCATTAGTGTTGACTTCAATTTATCATACCAGGCTCTAGGTGCCTGCTTCAACCTGTAAATTGCCTTTTCCAGTTTGTAGACATGGTCTAGTTTTGAAGGATCCACAAAGCCCTCTAGTTGGTTCATATATACAACTTCCTCAAGTTCACCATTCAAGAATGTATTATTGATATCTACCTATCTGATTGCCCAACCTTTTGACACTGCCATAGCAAGTATAACTCGTAAGGTTGAAGCTTTGATTACTTGGCTGAAAGTCTCATAAAAGTCACCTCTAGGCTCCTGATGAAATCCCTTGGCTACCAATCTCGCTTTAAGCCTTTGAACTGATCCATCAATGTTGTATTTTGTTTTGAAAACCCAGTTGCTTCCTACAATGTTGTAAGCTGGCAATGATGGCACAAGCTTCCGGGTGTTGGTTTTCATCAAAGCATTAAACTCCTCAACCATGACTTTCTTCCACTCTTTGCTCATTAAGGCTTCATCCAGGCTTCTTGGTTATGATATTTCAAGATTGCTGGCCACTGATTTACCCAGAAATGCCTTAGGTTTAAAGACTCCTGCCTTTGCTTTTGTGATCACATGATGTCCTATTAAGTCCCTTGCTCTTGATTGAGGTCTGATTTCTTGTTGATTTGCCAAGGAATCTATTTCACCCCATTCATTATTTTGAGGTAGTTCAAGTTCTGATTCTGCTCCTTGACTTATTGCTTGATTGTTCATATACTCATTGCTCCCATTTTCATCCTTTTCATCACGGATATGTTCAAATTGACTATCACTCGAGTTGAGAGGTGTGTGATGCTCACCATATGTTGCTTCAGGAAGTAATGTATCGGCAGAAT